AAAAATCAAACACGATAGCTTTCAGATTTCAGAAAACTGTATGAAAATTAGTTTTTAAAAGTGTCATCTTGAAGATTAAAAAATCCTAAGTAAAATGAGGGCTTGCCATATTTCCTATGACTTTCTCTTAGTAGTTATAATCATCATACGACAAACTTTATCATTGCATGACTAAAAAAAACCGCATTTTTTGTGATTCTGATAACGTTTAAGAGAAAGCGCCATAGGAAAATCATCGAGTCTTCATTCTATTCAGGATTTTGTGTTCTTCACAATGGTACGCTAAGTTTTCTGGAACTGGTTTAGTTTCTGAGAAACCTTCCTCTCTTAGTCTATCTATTAAATTTCGGCATGGAATACATTTGATAGAGAATTGCATCGGTTATTCAAACCACTTTTTAGATTTTGAGTTAAATACTTGGCACTGTAGAAAAAAAATACGTTGGCCTTACATTTTTTTTATCAGTACTGTATATGATAGAATAAAATGTTAACAGAGATGAATTTCTATTTTAGACAAGAACATAAGGTTCTCCGTTGTTCTATCGTTTGCTGTTCAAATTATACAAAGAATAGTTAATATAAATATCAAAAAATAAGGAATTTTCATAATCTTAAGAGGATCTTATGATTATGACAAATATCTTGAAATCTTTTATTATAATAAGAATATACCTTAGTTAAGATACAAACCTTCATATCTCCAATAGATTCAATTTTTGATTGATTTTTATGTTTTTCTTGAAAATATTCCATTAATCCTTTAATATTTGTTGCTATTTCACCAAAATTACTATAAAGATTCTATACAAAAAAAAAAAAACATGATTTTAATAATTGAAAATCTTTGTTTTTTACATTTGCATAAAATTCATCATATTCAGCATTCATAACAACCTCTTCAAGTTCTTTTGTAATACCTGGTACTTAATTAAGATTAACACGATTATTTTTAATACCAATCAATTGATGAACCATTGCTTGATATGTCCACTATAAAAACAAAGAATTTTATTTATTTATTTATTTATTTCTTGAATTATATAAATATCAATCAAACTTGATTAAGTAATGAAGTAATTGCATCTTCTCATCGATCAATAATTAAAACAATTGTTTGATTAATATCATTTGGATTTGATGCTGTAAAATCAACTTGACGTTTAAGAGTACTCTAGATTATTTTTAAAAAAAACCCTAAATTAGAAACTATATTTTTCATATTATCTTATACAGAAAGTTTATTAGCAAGTATTCTTGTCATATTTGATAGTTTTTGATAACGAATTGTTGCACTTTTTTACATACTGAAAGTAATACTGAAACAAGACCTTGAACTGCTCGACGAAGTAAGTTATCATTCCATTTGTAATTTTGCTATTAAATATTGAAAAACTAAAACAATTTTTTTCGTAGATAATTGATTATTACCTGATAAGTATTTGAAATATTAAGTGAATATAAATGTGGATTAATAGCTAAATAATCTGCATAATATTCTTGTACAACTCGTACACATTCAAATTCATCAACTTCAGCTAAACACTTTTTATATCACTCATTTCAACAGAATTAGTAAAATCTAAAAATAAAAATAATTTACTTAGATTTATTTTACAAATTAAAAAATCTATATTTACAAATAAAATAATTTCCATATTTTGATTCATGTAATTCACGTACTAATGCTTGAATATTTTCTTCTGTTGGTCGTAAAAACCAAATGGCACTTAAATGTTTTAATGATTTTTGTCCAGCTGTATCAATACGTTCAAAAAGAAAAACTTCTTTTTGAAGAATTTCTGATTGAGCATAAACTATACTAACAATAGATGCCTATTAAAAAAGAAAAAACAATTTTATTATTATTAATAATAACAAAAATAAATAATAGTTTTTTTTTGTGAAAACCGTTTCTTTATCCATAACAAGTCCTTTTATAGTAGGGGTGCACCAAATCCAAATCCTGGGTTTGACAGGATTTAACTTATATTTGACTGGGATTTGACTCGACTTCACAAGATTTGACCAAGATTTAACCAGAATCTGGGTAGACTTGCCTTGATCTAACTGGATTTCACTAGGATCAAGCTGCAATTCATCAGATTTGATCTAGATTTGATAGGATTGAATCAGATTTGATCTGGATTTGACAGTATTGAGTCGGAATTCATTGGATTTGACCAGATTTGATCTATATTGGACCAGGTTTGGCCTGAATATCACAGGATTGCATTAGATTTTATTGGATTTGATAAGTAAAGTCCGGAGAAAAACGATCAGGATCATGGAATGCTAGCCTGTCTATAAAATAGTATCTGCAAAATTTCGAGTTTCATGTTTTCGTGTCAGGGGCAAACTTTTTGACCAAATCTGGATATCCAGCAAAATTTTATGAAAGTAACTCCTAGTCGGAGTCTTCAGTAGTGTTCTTCATTACAGATCCACATTCCCCGACTTTGATTTACGTCCGTCAACTTTTACAATGCATCCACATTGTTTCAAATGAGTTGATCCTGGTCCAGAAAATGGAACTTCAAATTCTTGAAAAGCTGATTGCGCACAGATTCAGTTTCTTAGGTGGTGATTAGAGACGCACCAAATTCTAGTACATGTTTTGAAAGATGACATTTTGTCATGATGAAGAACGCAGTTATCTGTGGATTTAATGTATCGGCAATACTCAGTCTTTCACCTGCTATCCACAACTACAGTCGGAAATTATGAAAGATTTAAAAGAGGTTTCGGATTTGAGCTGAATATGACTGAAAATTAGAATTTTCTGATTTTTTTTCTGGCGAAATCTTGGCAAGCCTAACTCGATTTCAGATTTGTCGCTTATTCTATCGAAAAAGTAACGATAAATTTGAAAAGATCGTTCAAAACTGAATACAAACAAGTTGAAAAATAGATTCTAGATTGACAATCCTCGATACTAAAAATATATAAACATTATGATCGAAAATTCAAGACATTGACAGGAATTAGTTTTTCCTTGTTTAAAAAAAGGATATCCACCATTGAGAGTTGTCAATGTAGGATCTATTTTTCATCTTGTTTGTATTCAGTTTTGAACGATCTTTTCAAATTTATCGTTACTTTTTCGATAGAATAAGCGACAAATCTGAAATTGAGTTGGACTTGACAAGATTTCACCAGAAAAAAAATCAGGAAATTCTAATTTTCAGTCATATTCAGCTCAAATCCGAAACCTCTTTTAAATCTTTCATAAATTCCGACTGTAGTTGTGGATAGCAGGTGAAAGATTGAGTATTGCCGATACATTAAATCCACAGATAACTGCATTCTTCATCATGACAAAATGTCATCTTTCAAAACATGTACTAGAATTTGATGTATCCCTAGTGGTGATTGTGTTTGTTTCAAATTCACTTATGCAGTCAACTCAAACTCAAATAAAATATAGGGCAAGTTCTAATCCACTCAAACAAGCTTTTTGACTTTGTGCATAGTTACCGGGATTCGACTGTGTTTTGAGTATCTACACCCACTTACGAATAATTACAATGTAGTGTTGTTCTTAATCTGCATTTTCATTCGATCTGGAAATGCACAGGCACACACAAACAACTAGACACGTTAATTTTTAATGTAAAAGACAGCAATTCAACGATTGAAACGATTATTTTCTCTCGGTCTATTATTTTCGAAGTATTATTTTTCATATGATTCCGTACCCTACTTTTGCTACTAGTTTTCATGTTTTATATGTTCAGTTATTCATAGGTGTTATCGATGTGTTAGTATTTTTCTCTTTTCAATTATCGAACTGATGAGATAAACGATTCTCTTAACTTACATTGGATTGATTTTGGCTTAGACACAGTTGCCAATTTATTTTACTAAAATATAGTTTCGATAATAGTCTTTCTTTTATTGAAATTAATCCGGTGTCACTCTCATACGATTTTATTCCCTCATCAACCCTTTAAAGAGAGAACTTATTTAATTCGTTCATTTGTTACGAACCAATGAAAGTACATATAAGATCATTCATAAGGTTAAGATAAACTACACTCACACGCTACACACAATGTTATGTGTAACTTATCCTAGTGCGTATGAACCAACCCTAGTGAATGTACTGAGCTAAGGGTAGCTGAAAAAGTACCCTGCTATCAGTATGTCACAGGTACTTTCGGGTACTGAAGTACCTTAAAGTACCTTTAGATACGTATAAGGTACTCGACCAAGTACCCTGCTGGAAAGCATCCAGTAAATGGATACTTGAAGGTACTGATCAAGTACCCAACTGGGTACTAATGTTCAGTAATTTTGGGTACCCTGTTGCCGAACTTGCAGTATGTTGATGATCGAAACTAACCTCTGGCTTTTTTTCATTTTTGTTTCTCTCAAAGCAATTTATGATATTTTTTCGATTTTATTTTATTTAATTTTTCCAATTCTGAAAAGTCAAGCAGGTCAAATTTCGAGATCTGACCGGACGCGATTGGTCGGATCTCCATCAGACTACTTCAAGGTAGTCCTCCCTCAATCTACGATTGAGATCAGCATGTTCTCGACTAGTAAATAGTCAAGAAAAGTAATCTAGAAAAAATTAGTAATTATGAAAAAATATTTTTTTCTTATGCTTCGTCGAGTTGCTTATATGAAGCCGTATATGCAAAAGAAAACGGTGAATGAACAGTTGCTACACAGAACGCAACAAATCTAGGGTACCCTGTAGAGCTTTTCCTAGTAAAATTACAGGTGCGGGTACTCATGCAAGTATACTTGTTCAGTAAACATACTGCAATGGGTACCCAATGCAGTACCTACGACAGTATAATTACTGAAAATTTTCGAAGTACCCATATCGGGTACCCTGCTGAGGCTTTCTCAGTACATGGGTACCCTGAACTCAGTACTTTCTCTATGGAATAGAATTGCTTTCCATTTTTCACTCTCATCCATCCGGAAATTGTTTGACTTTGACATATGTGGAGACAAA